TGGAGAGAGAGATTGGGGTAGTACAAAGAAGAAGAGGTGGTGAGATGGGGGTCACAGAGGATGAAGTAGTTGGAAGGATGAAGGATGGAAAGATAGGGAATGGAGCAAAAACATGGAAAACAGAGTAAGAGGGAAGAGAGACTTTATAGAAAAGGGAATGGCTTGACAAAGGGAAGAGATAAGAAAAGTTGAGCAAATTTCTAAACAAGAAAAAAAATCATTGAAGGGGACAATTGAAGGTTAGGGAAGCAGAATACACATACACATACAGAATACGCATACAGTAACTCTATCAGTCATTGCATCAGTCAGGAGTAAATGGGGACTCTGTATCAGAGAGAATGTTTGGGAGACCTCTCTGTGGATCGGATGTCAGCATGAGTCCAATTCTTCTAAACATAGCTGAGGGACTAATTGGATTCAGTAATGGGAAATGAAATGTGTTGGATTTTTTTTAAATACACGATGCTGCAATGATGGAGCTATATTTTTGAATGATTTTGTCATTTCCAATACTAATGTAGTATTTTTGGTTGCGTTCATCTGTTTTTGCCTGCATCTGATGGGAAAAATGATGTGTACTTTTGCTTCTGCTTGATTTTATGTGTTGTTCATCCAGTCTGAAGATGCAGAGGGATTGGAGTGTTTTGGGGAAGTCAACTGGGCCTTGGTTAGTCTTAATCCTGGGTTTAGTTATGGACAGGAACTGGTGTATCATATGACTGTATATTAGAAATCATTTAAAATTAATTAATTCATAGTGGAAAAGCATAATGGTAGAGTTCTGTGCTTTAGTTTGATATACATAATTTTAGTAAGCTTTAACTTTTCAGTTTTTAACAGTAAAGGACTCAGTGGTGTCCTTTTTATTGCCTGTTCTCCCCTGTGTATGTTGCAACTATATTAAAAACTATAAATGTTGTACTGTTGTTTAACATATTGCCTTTACAGTGCAGCTGGTCAGACATCCAATACATATTTTGATGATGACAATTTTAACAATCAGAATTTTGTGGCTATAAAAGCACATATCATGATTAGGGCCCTATGCATGTTGTGGCAAAACAGGGCAAATTTCCATAGCAATATACACTTATTCTATAGCTATTTCATTCCCATCTCATTCACACACTCATATGCTTCCACCGACACAACTGGCTCCTAGTTGAATCTACTCCTTGACATAAAATTCATAAATGATTATTTTTGATAGTGATTTATTTCTGGATGGATTTTTTTAGTGTACTCTTTGGACAGCCCATTGCCTCGCACCCTTGTGTTCCTGCAATGTTTTCCCAGTGGCATGACTCAGAATCTCCTTCCTCCATATTGCAGGGAAGGGAAGAGCTCCAGCTCCTTTGATCTCACGCTTCATGGAACAGTGTATGGAAAATACGTTGTAATTAACACCTCCTTGTACTGGAGAGGTGCAAAGCAACAGGCTGTTGCAGTCAGGTCCTGGCAGGGCAGGTGGTCGAAAAAAGCAGTGTTTAATGCCTGGCCGCAGAAAAATGGTAAATTCTTCAGCAAAAAAACTGAATTCAGTGGCATCTTTTAAAAGTGCTATGTTTCATGGCTACAGCAATGCAGAGTCCACTGTGGTGAACTGGACAATCCAAACCTTTATTGTCTCAGACTCTCCGCAGAGTCCATCAGGTGACACCTCATTGGTTTACATTCCATTATCAATTGCAAGTTTATTTCCACAACCATACAGGCTAGAAACATGCTTTTTTTCAGTGTAAGCTGGGATCCTGGAGCACAATTCCACACAAAGGGGTGAATTTTTCAGTAAGTTCTGTGGTCGTGGTATCACACTATACACTGCTACAATACTCTGATCATGACGAGCCTAGAGATATTACTGAAGTTCTATTTATATTTGAAGTAATGTTTACCTAGTTGATTATACATTAGACTTCTCAAGTTACACTGCTTTGTTTACTACAAGAAAGTTGTGTGTGTTTATATAAACTGAAATACACAAGTACCTATGACCATGATGTTTATATTGCATGACTCATCATAAGTCCCTATGGATCCAGTAATATAGAGTGCTGTTCATTTATTTTCACTGCCATAATTGTGAAGCAGAATAAGTAAAGAATTATTTTTGCCACTGGACTTCCTGTTAGTCAGAAGTAGACTAAAATGAGCCGTCAGAGAGTTAAAAAGAATATATAACACAATTCTATTTTTTTTCCTTCCTAATATTTGATGATGAACTGTTAGGGCCCAATTCTGAAGCCTGTACCCATGTGAGTATGAGCTGTGACATCAGACCCTTATGCTCTAGAATATGGAAACTGTTTCAAGAAAGGTTAACGGGAATAAAGGTCCTTAGTCTGAATACAAAAAAAATTCTCTCCGCATACTGAAATAGTTTTATTTCAAACTGTACTTGGCGGGTGAGATTCTGTGCTGTGGCTCTAAGTCTAGATGCAACAAATAACTTGG